ACTCACCGTCTTTAAGTAGCGTTGCAACCGTCAATGCCAGGTACCTAAATTTATCGGAATTCAAGCATTTGACAGACTTAAACGAAAAGAAAGAAATACAATTACAGTCAGGAAGGTTAAACACCTACACATATTCAAAAGTCTCTTCTATCGGCAGGTCAACGTCAGTTTGTTTAAACAAATAGATTTTTGCAATTTCTGTGGTCGAGAATATCTTGTTGAGTTCAGATATCATATACACGACTAATGAATGAAATACATGTAATTACCAAACCCCATGCACGCAATATTTAACAACATCAAACCCCAAAACAGGAGGGAGAATGGTATTAATAGGGAATTCATTTTTAAGAAATACTAAAGATTTCGAGAGAAGTGTGAACATGTATAAAAATAATGAACTTCATTTTTTTACGCGAAGTTTTCTACAGTAATTTCTAAATATCATGGAGAAAAGCGCTTACCGTTTTTTTTTTCACGAAAGAGTTTCGGAATCGAAAGTTTTAAGGGAATTTATAAAGATTCATAATTTACCTGCCATTCACGTACAGACATGTTTTGAAATAGACAAACGTAAATATGTTACACCGCACTGAGTCTGAAAATAATACCGCGACTAGTCTAAAAAAAATTAGGTAAGTCAGAAATTGAATAATTAGTAATTTTAATAATTGTGTCACATTCTTTTTACGAATCCAATTGATGCTGGTTGTTGTTCAGGCGTCAACCTCAAGTATAAAGAGCATTTGATTCATAACCTTCGATGTGATTAATGTAACGTATGTTGGTTTCTGATATTTTTAGTGATCCCAATTTAAATGTAATGTGTATTATTAAGAATATTTAAAGAAAATATTAATATTTCTTTTGTGAACTATGTTACGCTCTGCACTACACAACAGGGACCCCAATCCTACAGTCATTTGGGAGTAACTTTCTTCTCTGCGTGAAGATACTGTACATGCGTATGAACAATGAAAAAAAAAATATACTATGGATCGGATGCTTATGTCAAATCTCGTCAGAGAAAATTTGGGTAAAACAGGTTTGATGCTAAATATTTCATGTTAAGAGCATCAATATAGAGATGCACGTAAATCTATCTAGAACACAACATGGCAATGCGTATATTTATATTATTGTAAGATTATTCTACATGA